CGCCTGAGCCAGCAAGAAATGAAGAAAAAATCACCACGTTTACAACTAGGTCAAGAAAAAACTGCATCTCATTTCTCACTACCATTTCTGCCATTGTTTCTAAAACACAGGAATAACGTGAATAGTAGACTGAGGGCCATACCATATTGACTAAAGAACAATACCCCAGTGTGGATAACATTTTATTTCGATAAAATCACGCAGTATTGTTATACAGTTATATTCACTGATGACCACGTTTTGAGCACAAATTATTGCTGTTCATAATCATACGAAGGTATTCGTGTAACTTTCTTGTTTCATTTATATACATGAGTAAAAATTGATGATTAGACATTAGAATAAAATCAATATATGATGAAAAGTGCATTCGGAAATAATACTATTAGTTTTATCAATAAAGTACGAATAGATGGGAAATAAGATGTTTTTTTATAGTGAAATAAGTAACTTGTTAGAGTGCTGTAATGTGAATTGAACTGAAATACATTTTACCATTTTTTATTATCCTCTGAACTTACAAGTAGGACATAGCTGCCCACTGAAGAAATTATTTTAGGAATTCAGTTATGTCTCACATCTGATATCTTTAAATTCCATGGCAGAATATATAAACAAACAAACGGTGTAGTAATGGGATCACCCATATCCCCTTCGTAGCAGAAATCTTTATGGACAGCTGGGAAAATACTTAATACACTTAATCCAACTCCAAAGATATGGTAGAGATGTGTGGATGACACTTTCACAGTGTCAAAAGCAGAACATATCCATCTGCAGCTTCTTGACACAAATAAACTCACTAGTAAAGGGAATAAAATTCACATCTGAATCGGAAAATGAACAAGGAGAATTAGCTATGTTAGACTGTAAAATAAAATGAACGGAACAAGGTAAACTGCAAACTAGTGTTTATAAAAAGCCCCCGCATTGTAATAGATATTTGGACTTTAATTCATCTCATCCCTTATCTATCTGTGAAGGCAGGCTTAGTTAAGTGTCTAACAAACCCAGCAATGACAACACTGAGTAGTATATCAGAAAGCCTAAACGATGAAATGAAACAAATAGAAGAAGATCAAAACACATCAAAAGCAAAATAAAAATAACTGCGAAACTAGTAACTATAACATAAATAAGAAAGGATACAATACATCTACAGTTTTAGCATATAAAGAGGGGACATCTGAGACCCTACGTGGTAGGATTCTCAATAAAACAGGGAAAAGAATGGCATTCAAACTCAGAAACTCACTCAGACAGGACAAGCTCTGTGGACTAAAGTACGCCGTGGACCCAATTAAACAATATAATATAATTTAAAAAATACCTAACAATGACTGTGAGTTAAGTCAACTACATAGGTCAAACTAGTGGATCACGGGTGGTGAGATTATCAGAATATAAAAATTTAACTAAGGTTAGAATGATTGATCCTACGAGGATGAGTAATTTTGAAGAAAATTCAGCAGTCGCTCTGCATCCATTAATACACAACCACACAATAGGGCTGGTGAGACAGATTCAAAATTCTAAAAAGTAATATAGTTAGGTGGAGAGAGAGAGATTGATTACTGAATCCTGGTTCACTGAGTCTACACCTAACACATGAAACATAAATGACTCAACGCAAATACCCGAAATATGGAAGATATTATTACCGGTCAAATCGGAGAATAATAAATAATGGTAAGATGCATTTCAATTCAATTCACATTACAGCACTCTAACAAGTTACTTATTTCACTATAAAAAAACATCTTATTTCCCATCTATTCGTACTTTATTGATAAAACTAATAGTATTATTTCCGAATGCACTTTTCATCATATATTGATTTTATTCTAATGTCTAATCATCAATTTTTACTCATGTATATAAATGAAACAAGAAAGTTACACGAATACCTTCGTATGATTATGAACAGCAATAATTTGTGCTCAAAACGTGGTCATCAGTGAATATAACTGTATAACAATACTGCGTGATTTTATCGAAATAAAATTTTATCCAGAATGGAGTTATACTCAATCACAATGCCCAAGTTTTATCCTTATATTAATAAACAATACCCCGTTTTCTAGAGTGGAGTAAAGTAAAAACATTAAAGTCAGTGATAGCTTAACATGACACGGATTTGAATCTCAGAAGGAATACGAGTTCCTTCAGGAATGCAGATGCGCCTTGCTGATGAGTGCGAGCAATCATGAAACCCAAGTCAAAGACCTCATTCCAATCGCCCCCAACCACCCAATAACTTAAATTTAGACAAATGAACAAACATTTTAGTGGGCTATCTATTCATAAGTAATGTTGAAGGACTAGGTCACATTTTCGCTTCAAACACACGAAAATGAACTAGAACAGTTATTAAAACTGTTGAGTTTTATCTTTTATTACTCAGGAATACATTCGAGCAGTATAATAATAATAATAATAATTCGAGCAGTATATAGATATATGTAAACAAAGTATGTCTAAAAAGCTTGTAGTGTTTAGGATTTCAAGCGAAAATAGACAAACAGGAATAACAAGTGAAAAATCCAGGATTTGGTGATATAAATGAAGTTTATTGGATAGTTTCGAAAATCCTCACATCAAATATGCCTCCTCTGGTAGGTTTGCTTCAAAAATACCACAAGATACTTTTGAATTTCCCTTTCTATACATTGGCTTTTGTGGACAAATTAGATTTCGAGGGTTTGCTTGAATAAAGATGACGAAACTGTTTGCGAAGTATGAGATGTAAGTTTTAATGCGAGTAACAGACAAATTTTTGTTGCAGTGTAATTAGAAACAAACTTATTCAGTTATGTGACATGATATATGTTAAAAGATTTGTCGCTATACACTTCATTCTACAGAAATTTCAGCACAGTTTGGGTGGAGAATGACAAAATTATGGTGTATTTAGAAAGCGTGCTCTGTCGTATGTTCAAAATATCTTAGTTAGGTTAATCTTCCTTTTCTCCTGAAATAACTACCACGTGGCAAGTGTAATACTGCAATGATCTATACAAAGGGAGTGACATGATGCAGTTTCAGTCTGGCTAGTTAAATTATTGATCCGCGGTTCGCTGCCACTGCATCAATCCATCTGAAAATCCTTCTCATATGATCCTTTACATCATGTCAATCCTCATTCTTCTTTGTGAAAAATACTTAAATTGGAATATGTGTGAGAAATCTCAGAAGATAAAACTTCGAAGCCTTTGGATGCCCTTAGGATTAACAAAAGAAGGAAAAGCTTATCAGTCGTGTTTGGGATGCTATCCTTATGGACCACTTAACCCTAAAAGTGATTGAACTGTAAATAAAAGTCAAGCCTTGTGCATATGATCACCCTGTGTTGAAATTCACAAACACTTTACCTATATGAGTGAATCGATGAAAAGCAACCACAGCTAGTAATGAATATAAACTTTTTTAACTCAAAAAGAAGTAAATAAATAAAAACTATCAATACAGAAGTAAGAAGAAGAATTATAGGATTGTGTGAAACAAAGACGTCAAAACAGCCATGGCCTGTGTCTTCCCAGTCTTTGTGAATAGTTGATGAAACTCTTCCTAACTTACTTAAACAACCCTTTAGCCATCATCATGATGGGTTGACTAAATGTATTATTCCCTGCTGTAAATAATCTTTGTTATTTGAATATTTGCTATGTCTGCCCTACCATGGATTGGTAGATCATATATAGTCTTTTATATTTGCACATTTGTGAATAGAACTATTTGGACAATACACAAAACGACCCAACATCTCTAAGAATATACATTAACAATGCTAAGGCGAAATTTCAGTACGCGGTCGTGCTAAACGTCCCAATTTAAGGCAGTTTGGAGGATATCAAGCCCAAAATGGGGAAAAACGGATGACTTAGGAGTTATTTAAAAAATTTGCAATGACGAATGAACTTATCTTCTAATTCATGATTAACTTTCAGCTTTATATCACATCGTAGCCTTCTGTTTATTACCATAACGAAGACGTCATTTGAGCGACTAATAGTCTTGTACACTAACTTGATAGAAATGTACAGCCTGAAGCTGTAAGTAATCCCAAAAGTCAATGAACTACATGAACGTGTAGCGGTAAATATTTCCCCAAAATTATTGACCACAGCAATCACCACTCAACATTGGATGCTGACCCTCACTGTTTAAGTTGACTTGTTTAGCTGAAGGCTTCCGGTCAAGCATCCCCGCCATTTGGTACTTCGTCGTGTCACGTGCGTGCACGATTACTAGCTAGCTAAGCGTTCACTTCAACCCGCAATTTGGTCCCGAAATATATTACTTACTTTAGACGACTAAATCTGGTCTTTTGCTTTATCCTTGGTACTCGAAGTGCGAACACTATAGAAGTTGTTGGTATAAGATCTTGCGTTAGTATAATCCGTACAATTCGCGAACGTCGATATCTGCAACCTCTAAAAACGTCAGTATTAGATATCGAGTGGCGGTCTACACTTTTTTGGTTAGGACACTGTAGCAGGCATCCTAACCATTCGGTAAAAAGTTGTGGTATATGAATTGTTAGTGCACGAGGCCACAATGCACCTCATAATGACCACATAAATCCTTAACCATTCATAAATTAAGGCTAAATATATATAATTATAATTACTACTCATATAAGAGCAGTTGGCTTGCAGGAGTACCAGAATAATTATCTTATTTTTTCTACATCTCTAAAAACTAATGACAAAGAAGATACATTTAGAAATAAAAGTATTTGACCAACATTAACATCGAATTATGTCATATTTCAGCAACTAATAGTGCCAAATAGTAGGAAACTACCATAAAAGACTGCTTGAAAAACATGTCTACATTAAAATGTCTTTCACATAAGTGAGTAGGCTTGTTTTTGAAACGTTGAAAACAAAGCACAAAATCTCACCTTTTGATTATTTCGAATGTAAATTCTAATTCTGCAGTACATACGCAGGTAATAAAAACTTGCATACCGAGAGAACAATGTAAAATGTACTCACCCTTAGAGAATATTCTAACTAGATCTTCGTAATCTAATTGGCTTGCCCACTTAATGAGGAATCTTTTAGCTGATAAACCTGGTCTGAGAACATATGTGTGGCTGCCAAGGTTAATTGGATTAAATTCACTATCCTTTATAGGAAGTGTAATTCTAAGCATGTTATGCCACCTACCTTTACTTCATATCGGAGAACTTCATTTACTGATAAAGTGGCCCCAGCCAAAACCTTTTCCAGTGATTCAAGTTTCTGTTTCTTGGATGCCAGCAGTGTAAGCTTTCTGGCTCCATCATTTGGCTGACGTTTAGGACATAATCTTAGAACCCCGTGTTCTGGAATTAAAACTAGTGCTAAGTCATGAAAATATTCCTTATAATATCTTCGACGTTTTTCTTTCCTCATATAAAAAGTCAAAACAGTGCGGTTATTACGAGGTAGAGAAGTTTGTTCTGTCGATGCACTAAAACAAAATGCCGTTTTTCTTCACTTCAGAAGTCACTACCTCCAATAGTGTATCAATTTAGTGGCTTGTCACCGAACAGTCGAATTCTCATTACTACACATTTTCATACGAGTTACATCAGTTTTTCACTATTGGCTGATAAGCAAAGGTTCGATATCTGAGTTTTCAGACCACTGGTATGTCTGTTAGATACGAAAGACTTCAGCAGAATTCCTAAATTTTTATTCGGGCATAGGGGTGGCCTGGAGCTGTGGTGGAGTTGTATTAGGCTCTAGGCCTTTTTTAAGTAAGACTTCAGGATTGCCCGGAGGAATAATGTGAGTGGTGATGTGCATCATTAAGTAAAACCAAGGAAGCAATGCAACATTACAAACATGTATGGACACACAAATATAAAACAGCGGGATTGTATACTTATATTGTACGTCAAAAAATGATGGTAATATTTGTCTGTTTATCTGCTTGTGTGACTTTTTAAAGGTCTTTCACTGCCACTACAGGTATTAATAATACCAACTTTTTCAACCTTAACGGAGGACTAATAGGTGAAAATGATTACTCCACTCACGACAGCCCCATCATATTAACACGATAACAGAGTTCACACCATATTTAATTGACGTGACATCGCCCATTGGACCCACCAGAGACCAGTGGACTACTCAGAAATACACAAAAGTTCAAAACCATTACATCACTATCAAAACACAGACGCTATATCCTCGTGTAGAACCCCCAAGACAGTGTGCTACGGCCACTCAGATGTCGTAAGTAATTGAGGAATTCAGTAGGGTTAGATGAGTAACCAAGTATGAACCACATCTTTTTGATCTGTACAGCCTCCTTCATCTGCTGAATGATGAACCCCCTTCCGTGTGTTTGGCGCCCCCCCCCCACTTGCCTTCGCCTCTAACATCGAAACTAAAGGTTCAGAAGTAATAACAATAAATTTTTATTTCTGGAACGGAAACCAGCCATTTTTACACGCATAAACATATGCACACTAATAAGAATTTATAGAATATATAATATGATTTGTTAATCTAGAAATAGATTGAATACTGGTTAATGTGAGAGAAACATTTTAAAAGAAATGTACAACTAAGGAAATAGATAATTTTCGAAATCTGCTTTCGACCGAATAAGTCGCAAGATATAGCGTCAAATCTAAACTGTAATTGAAAATATACGGTATGTCAATTGCACGCGGGAATTATAAATGATTGCGTTAATTGTGGAAGGTAAGTAGCATTTTTGTTCATGCGCGGACGTGAAACATAAGAGATGCAGAATGAAAGATAATTATAAGTGAATGATTCATGAAGTGTTTGAAAGTCGATAAAACTTCAAAGTCACCGGTAAGTACACCGTAATTGTGACATTTCCAGTTGTATATGAGACCAACTTTGCACTTGTCAGCAGATTTCATGATAGAGGTGGTTCCATTATTCACCAGGTGAGCTAGCAATATTCCAAATAAGTAGAGGATAGCAGCACTGTATCAGTGCCTTCGTTTTAGGCAGTACCTTCGAAAAGAGAAAAATTACCACTATTATTCCACAGTATTACAAGCCATAATTTGAACAATTATTTTGATAGAAGAGCCACTTTCTAAACCAGCACAGTGTCTTTCAGAAGATACAATGCTGAATTTCAGCTGTGAGATAGTCAGTTGTCTGTCACGCTCAAAAATAGGCTAACAAGCGGTCTGATGATGCAACTCCACAGTGCGAGTAACCTCGAGTAAGCTGTTGTTTACTTGCCTTTCAAGTAAGTGTAGCCAAAGTTTAAGGACTGAAATCTTTATTTCTGCTATAGCCATTTCACAGTACAAAACTACTCGTCCTGACTAATTGCACCAGTTTCGAGAGATTGAAGTTTCTCTGAAGGTTCGGACCAGAGAAATAATATTACTGGTTAAATTTGAAAACAACTTTGGTGTTCTTTCCTTCGGGTACATAAGCGTGAAATGTAGTATATCACACTTGATATTTGAGTCCCCCGAATATCTGAAGGACCGTTATTAAATGGCCCCTTTCAGCATTCAAATATTTGGGGTTAGTCCAATTGGGCGAAACTGGTCAATATTTGTGATGTCTAAAGTTATTTGCAAGTTATAAGGAGTTACCATTGTGTACGTAGTCAAAATTATTGAGGGGGTTGTATGTGAGTGTTAGACACGTTTGTGGAATAAAAGATTATGCCGAACATGGATTATATCCAGTCTTCACTAGGCGGAAGTACTTTTCTGGATGAGTCGACCTCTTTCCTGAAAGTATATCGTGTTAATGTGTATTATGCTAATAGTCCATCCTATGATCCACTGCTAGTATGGCCCCCATCTCAACCGACTACATGTTAACTTTACTGGGATGACAGATAGTGTGCACAATTCGGCTCTGGAGAACACTATTCAAAGCGGCGGAGGTAACGCCAGTGATCCAACCTTCCAGCAGCCGAACAATAGCAGTTCTAGGAAGAATATTTGCATGTCATGGCATACTCTAATGCGTTGTATCAGAAAGCAGCAATTCATTCACCTCGCAAGTGTTCCAGTAATTCTGTAAGAGAAACGGCATACAGTACATGTGGATGCCACGTTACCACTCTTAGTCCAACTGCCAGCGAGAAAGATTTTACGATACCTGAAGAGCTTTGCCGAAGACGGAAGAGAGGCTAAGCCGGAAACCGTGCAGAACTTCCATTTTGCACATTACACGACACCACTGGAGGAGGAGAAGAAGGAAATCCCTGATGAACTTGTCATGGGGTTTGTGCGGCGAATGCGTCATAGCTCCATGTTGCTATCACCATCGCATTAACAGAAAACAATATGGGTACTTCTGCAGAAGATACTCCGTCTGTGCTCGCGATTAACGACCGAGGAAAGAGAATTTACCGAGGGTCCGATTGAATGACAGCGTGGAAGGTGTTTCGATGGTCAACATCCAGTCTGGAAACAAATCATTCGGAGTTGGCTCGTGTAAATTTACGCTAAATGTTTTACTGATCACAATAACCAACTAACTGACATGTCCATGGTAATATTTTGAATTAAACGTCATTGTGTAAATGTAATCACTTATACATCTTGTCTCTGATGTGCTTCCGCTTAGGTTGAGGGCTGAGAGGTTGGTTGGCTGTTATACAGGTTTTTGTAGTGGACAAGCGATACTTCCGATTAGTGAGTTTGTCACCGGCTTGGTGTCTCTATTTCAACTGAACGCTTAGAAATACGTAGTAGTTCCGTGGAGTATCTTGTTTCTTTCAGACTTTTCTCATGGATTAGGAGATCTGCTTGATCTTCTACTTCCCTCCACACCACCAGAATTAGTGTTCAGGGATTTTTAGGAACCAACATTCTTGGTGCGCCTCCCTGAAGACAAGCCTGAATAGTTGTCTTTAACTCTCGTTTCTTTGTAGCCGTAACATATACAGAAGATGGAGACTTGTAGACTTTAGCAAAACACACAAACCAAATAACCAGATAGTTCTAAATGGAGTACAGTTAAAAACAAGAGTGCTGTTTGCGTTTCCAAATTGTTGTTTTTAAGAAAGACATCAGTTAATTATATTCAACTGGAGTCAACTGGAGTCCCTCATGTGCATAAAGTGAGAATATATCATTATAAGACGCATTCTGTTGTTCGATGAGGAAATTGACTTCAAGCTTTATTTATTTTCCCAAGTATCTGTAATCCATCCAACGCATACATGGGTTTTATTTTTTTAATGCGAAGTCAATATCTCTATATTTCTTGATGTGTTCCATTGGATTACTAGTTATCAGATTTTTCCAACAAACTAAAGATAAAATGACAGCAACCATGTTATTTAACCGTAAATCATGTAATTTAAATATGTAACTTAAATAATACTTATCCATGCCTATACAACTTATGTGTCCTACATTTGTAGGAATAGATATGTACCTTATTATATTATCACTACTAACTATACTTACTAATCGTATGTGTAATTTATCGAATTGATGATGCCTGTAAACTCTCATGTACAAAAATGAGAATTTATTATTATTATATTCCAAACCTTCAGTTTTGAGTTTACCGGTTTCCAAACAAAGAACTTAATAGCTGAACAAGTATCTTGAGGTTAACAAGCATGAATTCAACCAAAGATATTCAGCAGACCAAGATGAGAGTCAATATTATCTGATTTATATGGAAAGGAAATATAGTGCATAAGTTATTAGTGATTGGCAGCACATTTCCAGATGTAACGCGGTCGTCGATTATTATGGGGTTTATAAGAGATCTCACTTGGCACTTGCGTCACTTTTCAGATGAGATCACTCTATTTAATCACACACAGAGATAGTTTTAGGTATATAGGTAATTGTTATGTACTCGTCGTCAATAAGTTATCGGGTCGTTGCCGATATTAGACGTGAAGAAGGAAAATCAGAAGACCAGCACGTTCAAGATGATACGTGTATTTTCCACAAGGGAAAAACTGTTACACAAAGTGTGAGTGAAAGTACCAAACAGCATAAAGGGTGTGAAAGAGAGTGAAAAAGGTGAATCAACTGTACAATACAAAAGTATATATGAAAATGACTAATATACATGAACCAATAAGACAAACAGTAGTTTTTCTTATCATCATTGGATTCTGATTGGTTGTAATGTCATGTGACAAAAAGGTCATACATTGTTTATTTAGTTAATATACAGACAAAGCATATTGTGTGTTGTAGTGAAATATTGATCAACATACACATAGCGAAATATATCAGACTGTCAAAAACAAAGGCAGACATCATGTGACTACATGTCAGTAATCAAAGAAGCTCTTCCAACCAATCGAATCTAAGCTTTCAGTAGTCAGCTTTTTAATTGTTCTGACTGGATCAAATTGCGGATAATTGGGTTTTCAAGGAACACAGCGCAGATGTGCTCCATGTTGTGATTCTCTATGTCTGCACTATCCTCAT